TTTCACACAACTTGTACAGTATAATCCAACTCCCATTTATCCAGTCATGTGCTCAGTTCTTCCCAATCACAACACATGCATTTTTCTAAAACCTTACTATTTAAAACACTTCTGCATACGAGAAGCACGCCTGGGCAAGTGCGTGGATTTGAACTCTGCTCGTGAATTCTATTGAGATGCTGTCTTCCAGCTTGTTAATTGGCCAAGAGCTTTGCTGTCACATACTCACATCTGTTGCTTTATGTAATGTAAGCAGTGAAAAGCATGGCAGAGTTCAAACGCACATGCTTGCACAAGCACGTTACACGTCCATGTATGAGAATGTTTCTGTGGAAGTGTCTTAGATAGCAAGGTTTTAACAAAATGCATGCATCTGGGAAGTAGGCCTACTGAGCACATGACGGAATAAATTAGACTTTGATTATACAATACTGCACGAGTTGTTTGAGAGTTTACAAACCAATGTTTTGATATAGTTTTGCTGTTGTTAAATGCGCCCTCCATTTACTCCAATTCATTACAACTTTACTACATTTTTGGATTCTCCATTCACCGTGGAGACATGTGAGGCATGGATTTAATGTACCATGGGATGAGTTACTGATATATAAATTACTATTTTGTGGGTGAAGTATTCCTGTACGTCACCAATAAATTTTTGCAAGTTTTAATGTTGGGACCAGCTTCAGTAAATCAGTTGGACAGATATATAAATAGCTGGTGCAGCCTGATCCCGTATCTCATTGTAAAAATGTTTTTTAACAACACTGAAGTCTCATATTTCTCATGTTTGCTGTTTTCAGTGCACACGCTGTATTTTGAACCACAGTGTTCTTGCCGGATGCTCTACAAGCCTCTGACTCTTGCCATTTAATGTAACCCCATTGATCTAGCTGAGAGCCAAGCAAATCCAAAGCCCCCTGTCGCAGCTCTGTTACACTGAGTCTTTTTAGTCTTAATCTCACCAATAGGCAAACAGCCACCTGTAAGAGGGCTGAATTTCACAACACTGCAAAATTGTAAATTCATTTCACTGTTTTTTACTGTAAAGCCGGCACTGTCACATTGTTTACCTGCTGTTGCTACTTCCTTCGTCCTCCACAAACCTCCAGCCTCTGGGGAATTATCTTATGTCTATAGGCCCGCGCTATGTGCTCTCCCAAGGGAGGTTAACACCTGCTGTCAGTATATCAGGAAGGCTGAGACAGAGACAAGGCTGGGGACAGAGGCGAAGAAGGTACTCATACATTAACAGACGAAAGCCCCTGCTGCTTTTCACCTCCTCGCACACTGACAGGTCTGCTTTTATCTGCCAAGGTTCAAGGCAAGGACGGAGCTGCTTTACGGCGCTTTGCACTTAAAACTACCCGCTCTGTCTTCCAAGGAGGACCTAGCCCCCCTCCTGCTGCCACCCCAGCACATCTCCCGTCCTCCTCTCACACACATGCTTACACACCCAACCACTCCACAGCTTTCCACTTTCTCCATCTCATTTCTGGAGCTCACCTTTGTTACTCCATGCATAATTCTTTTGGGGTGGTTGCTTTTTCTCTTCCCTCCTGGTGTGAGGGAGCGCTCCCTTTCTTCTCTTTGACTTCACTGTGTCCAGAGAGGCAGTCCCCAGAGCTTTCTTTATTTTTCTTACCAGCGCAGACATAAGGGGTAGGATGAGGATTTCTGTGTGTGCTTGGGAATGTGTGGAGTATTCAGATTTTTGTGTATGAATGCATGTTTGAGAGGGTAGATGAATGTGGCTTTGTCCAGGCATTTCTTATGCACGAGTACATAAATAAATGTTTTTTTCTGGAGAGGGTTTTGTCAACAGGGCTTGAAGTCACCCAGCATGTATGTGTCTGTTCATTGTGGTGGAAAGGGTGTGCGTGGGCACGCTGCGGTTCGACAGGAGGGTTACCAAGAGGAAAAAGAAGATAGACAGACAGCAAAGCAAGGAGGTGAATCATAATTAAAATTTTCAGTCTCGTTAAGTTGGTGACAGCTCGCGATCAATGGTGAGGATCTGCCTCCAATACAAACGATTCAAAAGGCCGTTTGAATTTTAGGAGTAGTGGGACCAATAAGGGGGAATTCATTAAGATATTTATGGCCCCAATTAATCAGGTCACTGAGAAACTTGCTGTAGGTGTGCAGATCTTACAAAGAATCACAGTACAAATGGATTCACATGGTGTTAAACTCTTTGAGAGCATACCGCAGCTTTACATTCTCTAAAACTCTTAATTAGGAAGTGAGAGCTCCCTGGAGCTACCAACTGTATCACCCTATCATCTCTATTTACTCTACTGGAAATCTTGGTACTGTATGTAAGGGCTACAGGTGAAATCCCCACGCACATGCTCACTGGTTCCACAAGGATGAAAACAACAATTTTGCCTTATTACATTATATATAAAACTCTAATGAGGAAATATGAGCTCCCTTGCGCTTCAAACCCGAGCACCCAATTATCTTCACTTACTGCTGTACAGGCTGATGCACCCGGGGTAATGGCATAACGATAGCTCTCCCCAAAGGTGCCCAGCACAATGAGAAAGGCTTTGACACAGATCAATACGTTATAGAAATGCCTTGACTCTGCTCTGAGTGGAATTTTGGCCTCAAAAATTGTGTAAAAGATAAAAGGATCAGAGAATGAAAGCTCTTTTATTCCGACTTTGGTGCTTCAAAGAAAAAACCTTGCATTGACAAAACATCTACACGAAAATGTTTTAAATTTGTGCTCAGCTGGCGACAGTGCCATGTTGATATTCCACCCTGCATCCCACCACCTGCCCCAGGCTTGTTAACAAGGTGCCCGTGGCAATGATTGCCTGGCCATCAAACTCCCAGCTGATAAGTTCCTCTGGGAGAGGGAGCAGCTCTGTCATTGAATTCACCCCGATCGCTTCCTCATGCTGTACATTCGAGATAACGCCAGCCTCACATCCTCTGTAATGGCCTCAGTGATGTTTATATATAACATATTCTGTAAATTTCTGCCCAGCATGTTGCAGCTATAACTTCATGTAACTACTGGATATATCCTATTTGCCACATTTTATGATTTGATGACTAGATTTATACGCACAATTATGGTGTTGTAGCCTGTAGTCAAGATGGTAGCCAGCGAGACACCTGTCACTTCTAATGTAGCAAGGCCGAGGAAGGAGATTGGTTGATTGATTGAAGCCTCAGAGTGCACAGAGGGTGAGGGACGCAGTGACAGGCCTGTGATTGACACAGATGAGGAAAAGAGGATAGGAGCGTGCGGCGGTTAGAGGACAGGATACTAAAACAATAGCCAGTTACAGAGAGGGGATAGAGGGAGATTTAGGGAGATAGATAGGCCGAGGATGAGACAGGTGGCGAGTGGGAGAGGTGGGAAAAGAGAACGCGGAGGAGGGGTGGATAATCTTTTTTTTTTTTTTTTCCTCGTTACTGTTCATCAAAAGGCTTTTCTTAGTGAAGGAGAGGCTGAGGGAGAGGAAGCTGAGGACGTTGAGGAGAAGATGAGAGAGAGGAAAAGGGTGAAAAGTATTCCAGGAGGAACAGCCCAACTTCAGTCATGCCCCAGTGAATGTGCTGACAGGGTCTGTCTGCGCCACAGCGGAGCAAGTGTCATACACTCTGACAAACCGCACCACGCTGCACAGGACAAGATGAAACCAGAACCATTTAACCCAGAGCACACAAGTTTCACCCAATATGTGAACACTGAATATAGTTTTACAGAATGTGTTTGTTCAATCCATGGGAAAATGTAATTTAAAGGGATGCTCCATTGATTTTACACATGAAGGTCAGCTTACACATCATGAAAAATACTGTTCAACATGTAAAAACTTTCCAGAGTCAAAGAAAATAACACTGATTGGCTTAAGGCTCCACATTTCGGGCGGCTGTGGCTCAGGAGGTAGCGCGGGTCGTCCATGAATAAGAAAATCAGCGGTTTGATTACCAGCTCCTCCAGTTTGCTTGTTAAAATATCCTTGAGCGAGATACTGAACCCCAAATTGCTCCCAATGGCTGTTCCATTGGTGTGTAAGTGTGGTAAAGCTGTGTAGCAAGTGACACCTTGTACAGTAGCCTCAGCCACCAGTGTGTGAATGTGTGTGTGGATGGGTGAATGTGACTTGTAGTGTAAAAAGTGCTTTGAGTAGTCAGAAGACTAGCAATGCCAAATCGCTAAAGTGCCCCTTTAAATAGGAGGTGTTTTTTTTTGCAAAACACCCATGCACATGCCTTTCTTTTTCTGCACACAGTAATAACAAACGTTTTTATGTTAATGCAGTCTGGTAAATAGCCACATTATTGACTTGTCAGAGGCGTAGGCTGATGGTACTGTAATACTACTGAAGAGTGCCCGCTCTTATCTGGAAACAAGCATACTGATTGATATCTGACATTTTGATTTGGTGTAGGATTTTCCATTTGAGGCTCGAGTGCATGAGAGACACACAGAGCGTGCGAGTCAGATGCGTGAGAGCTGAGGAACCTTTTATATTGCTCAAGGCGCCATGTACAACAAAGTGCATCTGCATCCACAGCCTGTATCTGTATTGGGATTCTAACTGACTGATCAAAGCACAGTATTAATCCAGCTAATTAATCACGCATCAAAGTGATATGAAGCTAGCTGGTCCCTTTTTGCACTGCAGTCAGAAATCCTTGACAGTTGTTCCCATTAATAGCTGCTCAGAGCGTTTTCTAATAGTGTTATCGTATCTTTTTCCGTGTAGAATAGTAAGATGATAACTTTGTCTCCGTCTATCTAATAGATGTGAGAAAAAAACACTTGGGTCATTATGAAGGTATAAATGGATGTGTGTTCTGGGCCTAAAAAGCCCTCTGTGCTTGTGAAAATGTGATTTGCTGCTCTGTTAAAAGGGCTGTCCATGCCTGCTCGTCTGCGAGTTCTCCTACCTGTCTATGCCGCTTCACTTTTAATTAACGCAGTGCAATGATTAAAGTTTTAACTTAATTATCTTTATCTTTATTCTCAGGGTGTCCAAGCCTCCGTGGGAAACTGAATGAGACGCTTCGCAAGAGGAGTGGGAAAAAACCCAGCAGAGAGAGGCCTGGTGAGATAGAAGAAAATATTAGGCAGCGTGGAGAAAAAAAAAAGGGGAGAAGAAGTGAGTGACACCTGCCCTCCAGCTCAGTGTGAAGGGCACGGAATGAGAGAGTGAGAGGAGGGGAATGAAAAGAGGGAAAACAGAGGAGAGAATGAAGACAACCGGAAAACAAGGCCTGCCTCACAGCAAACCTCACTCAAATTAGGACATCTCGCCACAAGACAAGATGATTACAAGAAATCTGCTCCTATTGGTTTCCCTGTGCCTGTGGGAGGGGCTTGCGGGAGGGGCCTTGGCCGGTAAAATCGTGCGGAGGAGAGGAGTGGGCGGATCACATACGCTGAAGCTAGGGGAGAGCAGAGCTGCGGACCAATGGGATGCAAGCGTGGACGCGAATGCAATGCCCGTGGTGACTCTTAGAAACCTGATTAGTCATGAGCAGGCGGGCGACACTGGATCTTTGTCTCATTCTAAAATACTGCAGAATCATGCTCCTCCATCAGTAGCTAACAAGGAGAGGCAGGCTTTCAAGCCCAAGCGTGAGGTTGACTCCGTTAATAGAAAAGAAGTGACTTCACACATATTAGCCAACAACAAGGAGTTAAACCAGGATGTGAAGAAAGTCAAGAACAACACTAAGAATGCTGAGACTTCTACCAAAACAGGAAAGTTAGAGAAGACACTCACAATCCACCATAAACCAGATTTACACGCCAATAAAACCAGATTTAAAGCTGGCTCGAGATCCAGGAGCAGACCTGATTTGAGTGCCCATACTACAGGTGTGCCAGGGAAAGGATTCAGCATGGATTCAAACCGAAAGCTGAACCTCACCGGCAGTTATGGAGTCCTGAAGCTGCTGTCAAAAGAGAACCTAGTGAGGATTGTCAATTCCCAAATGCAGAGTGTTCCCAGTCTGAGCTTTCCGAGCAAGGGCAGCCGGAGCAGGAAGAGGGATTTGATTGACGTTAATCATAGACAGTTAGAGGCTCAGAAAGTGCCAAGACAAGATATGGCTGTCACTCAGCTTCACACTGGATTTGATAATCAGACTGCATTTCCTTATTTAAGCCCAGTCACCACCCCAGATATGAATCGAGACCAGGGATCCAACACTCGTATTAATCCACTAAGTGAAGTCAACCCTGCTTTAAGCAAAGGGCAGAACAACCTGGGAATGCAGAGTTCAGATAGTAGTGATAGCAAGAGCAAACACCTTGTCCGCTTACTGTCAACGCCCCGCAGTGAGGTCAGCCTTAGCCCCGAGAAAGAAGTGATAATCACCCAAACAGAACCACCGTTTACATCGACAAAACATCTCCCGCTGTATGTTCCCTCTGAAACAAATGATTCCCCGCTGTCTCTGCTGACAGTGCAACCCCTGGGAGTACGACCGGGGAACCGAGCGGCAGATCCCCATAGAGACCCATTAACAGAGTCGGTTCACATTACTCAAACAGAACTCAGCACAGCTCAGTACCCTGCAGATGAAGACAACAAACTTGTCAACAGCAGTCATGTCCTGAGGCTCCACCCAGCTCCCGAGTGGAGCCATGACACAAAAGATGCTGGGATGCAAGCTGTCGATCCAGAAAACGTGAAGGGCCTTGTGTTCGAGGAGGCAGAGTTGGAGGTGGAAGAGGAGACACGTGACCACATGGAAGGGAAGAGGTCGCGTTCTCGCAGCAGGAGGAGCTGGATCTGGAACCAGTTCTTTGTGATTGAAGAATATGCTGGGCCTGAACCCGTGCTCATTGGACGGGTAAGGAAAAAGAAAAACTTCATTCATCATTTACAAAGGCTGTGAACTATTTTATTAATGTTTTATGAATATTTAAGACACTGTTACAAGTCTCTTACATGGCTTATTTAACCTCAGGTCCTCAGGTACACATCTCATACAAGAAGTGCTTAGCATAATTTAACCCCACAGTCACGCTCCAAGTTTTTTCTGCATTGTTATAAACCTGCAATTGGAATTGATTTACATTGCTCCAGTGTGATGTGATGCCTTCCAGGTAGCAGTAAAAACCTCAATGAATCAATGGTGTACTGAGGCGCAACAAAAGCCCCAGATCCCGATTGCCCAAGGGGCTAGTCATGATCACTACCAATCTGCACCCGCCAATGGAAATTGACATATCCAGGAGAATTAATGGCTTTACTTTTTCCTTCCACCATTGATCCTCACCCCAAGGCAGAAAGCAAGAGTAGTCCGAGTGTTCCCTCATTTCCCTGTAGGTCAGAGCTGTCAGCTTTCCTCCCTCATGGTCAGAGGTCTGCAAGGTCCCGCTAATGCTATTTCACTCAGACTGATTTACACTTGCTTTGACAGGATTTATCACTGTGTTCTCCCTCAGCACAATACACACAGCGCTGTAGTCCTATTGCTCTGCTCTGTAATTTAGAATCATTGACTGGGCATGTCTTGCCCCCATTGCCTGATGCACCCTCCCTCCTCCTTTGAACGAGTGAGGCTGATGAGCGTGGAGGAGGTCACGTGGACCTGACAGAAGGTGTCTCGGAGCCCTGCTCTGTAATGGCTGCGCTCTCAGTCCTCAGCATGCGCCAACTGTCTCAGTACCCAGCTGCGGTAGATGAGCTAATTTATAAGCCTGTGTGGCCAGTTTGCTGAGCAAATGAATAGTAATGATCCCTGTGTGACTGCTGCAGGCTGTTGGAAGCCACAGAGTTAGAAGTTGGTGAGTGTGTGTGTGTGTAAGTACTCGAAGCTGAGATGGTGGTTAAAAGCTTCAGCTCAGTGGGAGGCATCTCACACTTAATAGACAAAAAGGCCCAAAATTGCTTTGTGTTTTTGGATTTTATTAACCAGGTGCACGCAGATGGACAGGAGCCTGCAGTCCTCATACACAGCCTCCCCAAGTGTTCCGATGATTAGCCAACATTTAATTTGGCTGTTTTTGCCTTTGCACTATGACTGATGATGGGCTCAGCCGAATGCTATGAAGCACTGTTAGTGGCCGTGGAGAAGATGCAAGAGCTGACGGTCCAGCTTACAGATGGCACCGCGTGTAAAGCCATTAGTGCCAATCTGCTGTGTCAAGCAGGTATTTATGCCAGCACATTGTATGGCACTCAAGGAAGGAACACCGCCAGGCCACACACATGCCCATATGATAGTGCTGACACTTGGAGTACACCCAGAACACTATTGTGTTTGTGTGTGTGCTGGGCTAGAGATGCGTATGATTAGTACCCTACTGTATTAGACAGTGACGGCACACATGAATAATGCTCTTATAGATATTAATGCGCTTATGAATTTTTAATCTCCCGCTCTGCTCCAATGCAGGCCGGTGCTATAGGTAGAGAGATCAATGCGGACACACTGCCTTGTTTTTTTCCCTATCAGGGACCTGATTGTGCTTTAATGGAGAGAGCTGTGACAGAGAGCGTGAAGAAATTGACTGTACAGGCCAGAACAGCTCCACCTGCCAGATCTAACGCAGTCCAAATTCAGGCTCAATCAGCTGCAAAACACTCTTGCCTGTGACTCACAACACGTGACTCTCCCTCAGTTGGCTATACCGTGTTCACACACACACTCAAACACACAAACCATGTACATCTGAAGGTGTGATTCTGTATTTAATTGTGGGCTCTCTTTAAAAAATCCGCCCTCTAACACTGATTCATGCTGTTATTTTTTCTGTGATCTCGGACAATTCGGCCTGGATAAATCTCCACTAAAGCTGGAGACAAGAGCCAAGACTCTAATCTGTGATGTCATTGGGAGACAAAGGCTCTGCTGCTAAAGTGATAATGAATTAGGGGCCAGCTTTGTGGACACAGTGACACCACCCAGTGTAATTTTGCATGGATATTTATAAGCACTTTTGTTAGAAGAGCTATAAAAAAACAGCTCAGTTGGTATTAAATCTAAAAGAAGCAGCCAGTGAGTCACCAGCTGTCCATTCACTGTTGTTGGAGTGGCCCTTGAAATCTCGTAATACCATCAAAGATCTAAGTTTTTGTTTACTGTAGTATCTATTCTTCAGAGAGTTGTTCAGGTTCACAAGAGTTGCCAAAAAGGGCAAGAAATTTTCTGAGTGGTGAATTGTCTGACTCAGTTTTCTGCTCTCTGTCAACACTCTTGCTATCTCTCGCTTACACACACACACACACACACACACACACACACACACGGACCTGCACACACAAACACATACATGCACATATTCACACACGCACACGCACACGCACACGCACACGCACACGCACAGACTCGCAGACGATGCCATGTTACTATATTTTCTCACGCTGGAGTGTCTCTGCCCCATGATAATTGTGAATTTAATTGATGCTGTCACATGGTCTGTAATGGGGTTTCAAGTGATTGCAGAGGCAATGCGAAAAGAAACACAGATTTTTCTTGAGGAGAAAAGGCGCCTCAGCAGAGCTGGGATTAAGAAAAAAACACCACTTTCTGATTAGCTTTTTCTTCCTCTCTTACTCTCCTCTTGAAATGCAAACTCCCTAACACCTCGTGTGGGGAGACAACGTGACATATATATAGTAGTTTCTCCCTCTCTGGGAGGAAATTCCAACATCTCCATCTTGCCCTGTTTCACCTTTATAACATCTTAAATGTGTGAGCCACCTGGCAAGTCGGCAAACACGCATATGTAATCCAGCAGCGCACCAGGAAATGGACCTAGGCTATCAGCATCATTAGCATATCATTAACATCAGTGTGAACATACATAATTCATATTAACTGAAATATGCCTGTATTACACAATTAACATTATTGTCTTTGCCACACATGACACACACACTACAGCACAGTGTGAACATCAAACACCTAGACATCAACGCGAATCAGTAATTACATAAGTTAAGATTCAGACACACCAAACAATGCCAGCCAATTCCCAGGGAAGCGTACTTAGCTTTTTTTATTATGTTGAATCATTCATTAAGAATCACAGCTGAAAATTGCTCTGCAAAATGAAGTTAAAAGATTCCTCCGGCCCGAAGGCATCTTAAGATATATAAATAACATAGTTATTGACCGCTCTGGTATTGATAACTCCTGAGCCTCTGTGCGGTGCCTCTGGCTGCAACGTGCGCAAACATGATATTGCGAAAGCGCTGGTAGGAAGTCGGCAGTGTGATACAAGGGCAAGAAGGAGGCTGTCACAGGAAGTTAAGTGCTGGGGTTTGAGACTGTGTACGTGTGTGCATGAACATTATGTTTTTCTCCAATGCTCATTCTAGCAAAGCCCTTTTAGTCATTAGCTACAAGCCAGTGGTGAAAAGTAACTAAGTACATTCACTCATGCAATTTTGAGGTGAAGTGCTTTTACTTAATGATTTATATTTCATGTTACTTTATACTTCTACTCTGCTACATTTCAGAGGGGAATATTGTACCCTTTCACATTTATTTCCCAGCTATAGTCACTAGTTTTGCAGAATTTTACATACAAAACATATGTTTAATAATCAGCAAAAAGATAAGATGCATTACTGCAGATAAAGCCTCCACATGATATAAAGTGGTTATATTAGGCAGGAATTTGCTCCACTTTGGCCACTGAAATGATGTTTCCATGTGGATTGTCTGTAATAATAATAATCCGGTAATACTGTATAAAATATACTTCTCTGAAAGGGGTCATTCTGTATGCTTTCCCAGTAGACACTGGTCACATGGTGCTGTTGTATCAAATGTTACTTGACTCCCATTCATTACATTTTAAAAAGATGTTTATGCCATTTTTGCATGTCTGGATGTAAATTCTATTGCTGTCTGTCATTTTAAGCCTGTTGAGTTTTCTCGGAGCCAAAAGTCTTTATCCAAGCTGTCTTTGATTGCACATGGGAAACGTTTGCTTTAATGGCTTTGTGTCAGAAAGTCAGGTGCTGTAGTACAAATAGCGATAATGACAAGGTGTGGAGGAAGTTGTCAAGTACAGGGCTTTCACCTCTTATCGGACTATTGTTTTCAGTTTCTAGGATATATAAAGCTACTGAATGCACACTATGTACAGACATTTTAACAGAATTGCTGGATATGCCTGTTGTGTTAGCATAATACTTTGATGCTGTCATGTTGCTAGGGTGCCCAGGAAGAGTGGCCATGTAACATCTCAGATGTTGCCACACTTTAATTTTGGAACTATTTTTGTAACATACCTGGACGTCAAAACAACAGTCATTCACTGTCTCAATGTTTGCTGGTTCATAGAGTCACTTGATTTTACACCTGATTATTGAGCTGTGATAAATGTTGTATCATTTCTCCTGTGGCTCTGAAGAATATCCCAAAAGTTTGAGAATATGATCCTGATGTCATCAGGGTTATTTGGGCTTGAGACTTCAAATGTTACCAGAAACTCCATGCAAAATGGGAGCATAGAGTTTGTGGCTTTTTACCAGGCCAAGGGAGCTTAACCAAATACACTATTGATTTGCATTATGGGAGGTGTATCCTGTGGTACTGGAGCTTGATTCATACTGAAGACAGGATGTCTTGACCACTCTCTTTCTTTGTGTGTCTCCTGCAGCTACCCCAAGTTTATTTAAGAAAAAATAACATTGCAGGAATGTATTTTTGATAGAGTCAGTGCACAAAGCTGGTGTCCTGCCTCTAGTTATTATAAATGTTTCATTTTGTATGGAGGTGTGGGACTTGTATTACTAAGACTTCCTCATCATTACCACTGGTAACTATAGGTTTTGCCAAATCAACCGGGACTCAAATGTCGTTTTCTTTTTGTATTCGGAAGTTAACTT